CATCTAGTCCAACCCCCTGCTCAGGCAGGAAACCCTATACCATTTCGGACAAATGGCTGTCCAGTCTCTTCTTAAAAACTTCCAGTGTTGGAGCATTCACCGCTTCTGGAGGCAGGTTGTTCCACTGGTTAATTGTTCTCACTGTCAGGAAGTTTCTCCTGAGTTCTAGATTGCTTCTCTCCTTGATTAGTTTCCACCCGTTGCTTCTTGTCCTGCCTCCAGGTGCTTTGGAAAATAGCTTGACTCCCTCTTCTTTATGGCAACCCCTGAGATATTGGAACACTGCTATCATGTCCCCCCCTCGTCCTTCTCTTCATTAAACTAGACATACCCAATTCCAGCAGCCGTTCCTTATATGTTTTAGCCTCCAGTCCCCTAATCATCTTTGTTGCTCTTCTCTGCACTCTTTCTAAAGTCTCAACATCTTTTTTACATCGCGGTGACCAAAACTGGATGCAGTATTCCAAGTGTGGCCTTACCAAGGCATTGTAAAGTTGTATTAACACTTCACGTGATCTTGATTTCTATCCCTCTGTTAATGCAGCCTAGCACTGTGTTGGCCTTTTTGGCAGCTGCAGCACACTGCTGGCTCATATTTAGGTGATTGTCGACTAGGACTCCGAGGTCCCTCTCACAGTTACTACTATTGAGCAAGGTGCCACCTATGCTGTACTTGTGCAATTGGTTTTTCTTGCCTAAATGTAATACATCTAATATGATACATTATTGTACCATACTCGTGACTTTCTCATTTTTAAAACACACAGTATCATTTAACATTGAAAACTCAGGCTTTAATTTGGTACATAAAGTATGTGTGTTCATTTTCCAAGGTTTAATGTGACAATTTTATTATTTCTTATTTTATTACATTTTAAAGCAAGTTTTTATAGCAAAATTTAATGTAATGCCTGTAAATATCCATCTATTAATTTTTATTCAGGGTCTAAGTGTTACTTTCTGTTGAGAGACACAAAAATTAGATTTGTATAATATAATATCTCAGAGTAACACCATTAATCATATATTTTGAGGTGTTCCTGAAGCCATAAGAACTTTCTACTTAGATCTAGTATGCAGATGTAATTTTTCAGGCAAATTGGTACAATTAAACTCTCTCATGGACATCACACTTACATTGTATAAGTTTGCATTGCAAATGTACATTGGAGTATATGTAAATATTGCTGAAATCTAAAAAACTTAAAATAGAAAATTAGAGCTGCGAAACCACTACAATTGTGACAGTGTGAATGAAGCAGTTCTCCTCACAGAAAGCAAGCAGTCGTGTCCTACGGGAGGCTTGTGGGGTTGCTTCAGAAGCTGTTGCCAATTGTCTCTGAATGTGTCTCCCCACACAGCTTCTTTGCTTTGCTGAGTCTCAGTGGAAACATGAAGAATTTGTTTGGCAGTCTTGTAAGCCAGTGGTTCCCATCCTGTAGGTTGTGGCCCACTAGTGGGCTGTGAGGGGTTTGCAACTGGGCCGTAGAAATGGCTGGTGAGCGTGTGTGCATGTGCATCACTTGCAGGTGAGTGCGTGTGCACGTGTTCCATTTGCATGAGCGCCAGGTGTGTGTGCATGCTGCTCGTTGAAATGGAGCTATGCGTGTGCACGCTTGGCAGCCCCTTCCTCAAACCATCCCCTTCCTCCCCCTGCCAGTCCACAAAGCCAGAAACGTTGGGGAACTCTGAAGTAAGCTTTGCAAAAGACATTGCTGTTTTAACATCTTAGAAAGAGGTGCTTTACTCGGGTGCTTTGGGAAGCACTTCTTTTGAATTCCTTGTACAGCTCCACCAAAAATCAATGTGATCGTACTGGAACAAAGCTTCAGACTCATGCCTAACTTTCTAGACAAATCTGGTGCCTGGGGCTAGTATTCATCCACTCTTTTTCTCCGTGGTTTTAGGAACAGGGTAGAACAGGAACATCCCATAAAGGGTTCAGTAAAATTATATCAATAATTTAGAATATAGGACTCCCCTCCTCCTCCTTTCAGTTTCTTCTCCTGTTCAACATTGTAATAATAATAATAATAATAATAATAATAATAATAATAATAATAATAATAATAATAATAATAATAATAATAATAATAATAATAATAATAATAATTTAATTTATATACCGCCCTTCTCCCGCAGGACTCAGGGCGGTGCACAGCATATTGAAACAAGTACAAATACAAGATACAAAAAATATAGACCCTATAAAACCAAATTAAAAACCAAATATTAGAAGCTGTTATTCCTATTAAAATTATTCTTAAAATCATCCCTAAGTAAAATCCTCCCTAATGGTTGTCCTAGACTGGATTTTTTCTTGTGACCAGATATTTGAGGCTGTTTACATTCCATCTTTTTTCTGTCACTTAATATCAGTAAGTAGAACAAGAGCCAGAGTTTAATTTCAGATAAGGTACTGATGAATAGTGCTATTTAGTTCTTTTCTAATTATCGTATAAAGAGGAGCCTTTAACAATGATTTTTAAAGCAACTTGCTCTACTGTTTGTAAGAAATCAACATTTCATTAAGTTTCATTTCTTTTGCAGGTGTATTTGCCAGACTTTGCATAAAAAAGTGTGCATTTTAGTGACTCACCAGTTGCAATATTTACGAGCTGCAAGCCAGATCTTAATTTTAAAAGAGGTTGGTGAAAATAAAAATAATCTTCGGAGGGTTGGCAATGTTTAGTTTGTGTCCTGTATTCTTAATATTTAAAGTTGAAGAATTATAAATATGCAGAATAGTATGGTCAGTCTTGCAGGTTACATGTAATTTGTCCACATGGCATGCAAAACTATACATTTACATTTACAGAACTAAATAAATTAAAATGCCAGTTTTGAATGATAGGTCAGGATTTTTTAAAACCCCTAGCTGGAAAATAAAAGAAAATAGTGTAAAATATATCTGTTGATGGTGTTCAGCTACAAATGTCAAATTAGTTACTTCAGTATTCTTGGGGCTTTAGTTTCCTATTGATCCTTTTGCATATATGCTATACATATAATACTGTGCACTTGTTTAGATTAGAAAAGAAGCAGGAACCATGTTTCAAATGGACTTTGATTTTTGATTCTCAAGAGCTACATTTCAAAAGGAGGCAGAGCTTCAAAAAATTGACCAATTAAACCTAGACCAGGGGTAGGCAACCTTGGCTCTTTTATGACTCGTGGACTTCAACTCCCAGAATTCCTGAGCCAGCTGAGTTGAAGTCCACGAGTCATAAAAGAGCCAAGGTTGCCTACCCTTGACCTAGACTGAATCAGAAGCAGCATGGTCCATCTTGAGAAGTGCAGCTGAAGTGATATCTGAACTTCCTTCTAGCGAGCATGGGAAAAATATGCTCTTTATTTTGACTTTACAGCTGCAAATAAAAAATTGTAAAGCTGAAATTTGTAAATATGTAAGACATTGAATGCTGAAATTTGTTCAGTGTCAGCGAGATGTAGGCACCTTGAATTTAGACTGTTTATGTTCCATGACTACAGTATTATTTGCTCTTTTATTCAAAATTAAATGAACTACAAATAAAAATGCAAATAAAATCAATAAAAATCAAACAGACATAATCTAATATCTTCTCTCTTCTTCTAAATGTCACTAATAAATAAAATATTGTTATGTTGCTTTGTAATGTACCATTTATATTCGTATTGACTGAAGCAGTATAAAAACCTGTGAATGAAATAAAGTAAATAAATTATCTAGGAAAAATATCCTTTTCTCTATAATTATCTTAGAATAAATGCCAATTAACAAATTTTAATTGTTCCATATATCCTTATACAAGCCAGATATAAGAAAGGATATTATGTATTTCTAATTAACTTACAAGACTTATAATAATTATTTTTTTATAATTTTATAAAGAAATTATTTTTGCTAATCAAAACTTTGCCATCTTTCCAAAAACAACAACAACAGATTATTCATCTGCTACCAATATCTAATAACTATCAACTTTGCTATCATTGCCCTATTGACACTTTATTTTTCATTGAGGTGTTCTCAATCACAATTGAGCCCAAAATTTATATTGGTAAATGAGAAATTTGTTAAGTGAGTCTTGCCCCATTTTACGACCTTTTTTGCCACAGTGATCCCACACTTTCTTGAAATGTATCTTGATTATTTAAAACGGGGTAAGACAAAGGAGGATATTTACTAAAAGATTCTTCCTTCTTTTTGGTGGAAGTGCAAGCCTGGATGGCAGCTGATAGTTATCCAAAAAATTACTACTATAGTTGGCTATTTTACAAGCATACTGTACATTATAGTCTCTATGTATTTTCTTTCTAGGGTAAGGAGGTAGGGAAAGGTACCTTCTCAGACTTTCTTAAATCTGGAATAGATTTTTCTTCTCTTTTGAAAAAAGTTGAGGAGGATGATCAACCATCATCTCCAGGAACACCCAGCCACCAGCTGACTAGGATCCGTACATTTTCTCAGT